AGTCAGAGTCAAATCACAGAGCAGTATTTAAAACCATGTAATAAATATATCTGAGTTGCAGAAATGTACCGCATTTAATAACCATGAAAGCTTTCTCATAGTACGATCACAATTTGTATGAACGAGTCAGTGCCTCTTCCGGGATCTGTCGTTCTTGAATTAGTTCTGGCTTAGTCAGTAAACTGACTGCGAAATAACTTATAAACCATCTCCACTGCTGATCTGCGTTACACAAAAACGTGTTAACCCATTAAAAAATAGGATACCTCTCAGTTTATCGTCTCAATGTGTAAAGGGTATAAGTTCCACAAAGTACTTTTCCTGACCTCTGTCAGGCTAATATCCAACCATCTGGTTTTGTTTAGTCTTAAACACTAGAATACTTACTGGCGCTCAAACACCCATACAGTCACTACAATGAGAACATCCTGCTGATTTCAGTGTTGGAAAACAAACATCCATCATGAAGTCATCGGGCAGCCAGACAATAATATCCAGCATTTGTTTACCATCATAAGCTTCCTCTGTGTAGACATCACTATTTTCAACAGCTCCGGGATCAACATGCTCACTGACAGTCAGTGACATGTTTGTAAATCAACAACGACTAGGTCAATGCCATACAGCCCTGTGAATCTTGAGGGCACCAATAACATCACCAAATTCCAACCTCTAACTATGACTCAGCAGAAAGCCATGTTAGCAATAAGCTGTACAATCTATCTCCATACTGTTTGGCAAAGAGTGTAATAAACCCCTGTTTTTATACCATGATAATCATTAAGATTATGGTTATACAAATAAAATGTACTGAAGTTATGTACTTAGTAAATAAATGATTATTACTAAGTACATCTTATAATCATTAAGTTATTCGATCAAACATCAATCACTATAATGTCTGATTACAATTGGTGTGAGAAAACCTTTGAAGAAATGAACTTGTTCTCACATATTTAAAATATAAATAGAGTGAGCAGCTTCCTCAAGAACTGGAATGTGTTTCACACTTCAAAGCAAACCTCACATGAGCATCTCTGGCTTACAGGCAGAGGCTCTAACACACACACACACACACACACACACACACACACACACACACACACACACACACACACACACACACGAAGACAGTATGCACACACTTAAAGAACACATGCATGACTTTCATATATATATAGATTTATTTTGTTAGTGCTTCTACAGGTGCTCAAAGACGCTTTACAGATATAGTGAAAAGAAAAGAAAGGAACAACAAATAAATATATAGTTATAGTTAAAGTCAAATAATACAAAAACATCCTTACATTACCACATGTGGTCATGAACAAGCATACACAGAGATATTCACATTCAAAAGAGGAATGAGAATGTGGTAGGCTTACTCTCGAGGCCTTGTCCATAGAAATCCTCACATAAGTCTTCTCATAGCATCTGAAGCCCACTGAGAGCAGAGGATCAAGCTCTCTAACAAAAGGTCTGTGCCCCACAGATAGAGGACTTAGAGATGCTCACAAATAACTGGACAGTCTTGCTTTGCTTTCTAACTGAGCAGCTCACAAGCAACTACACTAATGCAGCTGTGGGGTGATTTAAAAAATATCCAAGTTAACAACATCCTGATAAAAGCATGCAAAATCAGAGGATATGTAATGGAAATAATGTCATTTATTTTGTTTGTTAAGATATGCTTTGAAATAAATTATAAATCAATATGAATCCTTTCTTTGTACAAATGCAATGCTGCTGTTGAGATACATTCAAACAATCCAGTGTTATTCAACATAGTCACTATTTCAGTGACCTTGTTTGTTATGTCATGTCATGACCCTGAGAGGCCAAAGGTCACATCAGACTCACAACAAACAGCTGTTAACACGTGTGACTAATGCCATATGGATCAGAGCTGGGTTTCTATTATAGTTCCTGTTAAAAGTCTATGAAACCTGAGTCAGGGCGTCCGCAGGAGTGAAATCACAACACTGAATTCCAGGAACTAGATTTATCACACACACACACACACACACACACACACACACACACACACACACACACACACACACACACTCACACACAACCCTGGACTCATAATAAACTCATTACAAACCTAATACACATAGTTGTTTTTTGTGAATTCACAGTGTCATTATACTGTATCGCTTAGGGACTTTATATTATCCCTCCGAAGCATCTTTAAATAATGATTTGTGACACTTTAGATCAAATGTACTGAGAGTGTGAAGCTCATGCTTGGCTGGAATGGTTGACTGCACAGTTCAGAAACCAAATTGTTGTTGGCCCCTTCTCCTGAATCCTCATGGTACCAGAAACGTCAGAATATAACATTTGACAACTGTCTGTCCACAAACCGCCTTATGTCTGCTGGGCCTACATTTTGTAATTTATTTCTTAAACTAGCCAAATTTGGGCTAGCAAAAAGAAAAACAATAGTTCTCTTACATACATACAAAGTCAATCTGAATTAAACTTTGGAGGGAAATCAGTTTACTGTAGATTACAAATACTTGAACATACATGCCAAGGACAGAAACAGGACATAACAAATGGTGAATTATAAAGAAAGAATGTCCACACATGAGGAAAAACCTCTGAAGGATATTGAAAGAGTAAGGCGATATTTTTTTTCCACTATTCCTGTCATTCACCTCCCACAGAGTTGGGCCCCCATTCATACCAGAGGTGAGAGTGGGAGCTGAGGCTGAATGTGTTTACAGATTCCTCAGAGCCTACCAGCTAGCTGTGACTTTTAACAGCCGGCTCGTTCCTCCACACTCGTTAAATCCCACACCAAGAGGACAGAAGAGAGCAATATCAGATTATGGTGGTTATTACTGTATATGCAAACATGTGGAATTTCCTTAAGTCGAACAATATGCTGCAGAATCACAGTCATTTAAAGAACCAAGAATCTCAATATGTCCTCCACAGCATTACACTTTTGAAGTTTGAAGAATAATACAGCTGCTCTTGAAGTACTCCATCATCCGCAGTAAATTAAAGCCACATGGAAACGGTTTCCTTGGCCGGAGAGAGAACACACCAGATGACATTTTTGATGAGCAAAATCACAAACAAACAAATCAAATTGGACTGACATAATCACATAATGCACATGCAAATACACACAATACCTATGTCCCTCCCATTATCTCCTCTCACCCCTCTGAGTCACTTATCACTGCGATTGGTCACCTGTAAGAAAAGGTTTACGGTGATGACTTGTAGTGATGAAAATAATCTCTACTTTGTGCAAATATGATTCTCTGTTAGCAGAACAAATCCTCTTTGATGGGATGTATTGTTTTATCTGGGTTATTTGGTAAGTGGCTGTAAACAAGCTTCTGACAATAAAGCCATCTCTCATCATGTTGGTGAATCAAGTGTTTATGAAAATGTCTTAACCCCATTGAATGTTACATCACTCTTTATCAGAGAAACAGTGGCTTCTGGTTGAGAAACATCACAAATTGAAGGGAAAAAAGGAAATAGAAGAGGTGGTGTTGTCCACATGTGTTGGTGTGTTGTGTCCAGATGTTCAAGGAAACAAGCATGTGTTCTTGTGTGTGTGTCTCTTTGTGCATGCATATCTGTGTGCATGTTTGTTGATGTTTAATAGTGTAGATGTGGTGAACCAGCTGAGAAGGAATGTAGAATTTGAAAGCCAAAACACACATCATATGGTTTAAGACAGATTGAGCCATCTATACTGCTTAAAATGAACAACTCAGACAGGTTGATGGTGACATCCACAGTGAGCTACCTTTGCTGTAATATTGTAAATCACTCTGCTGTGGGAGTATAAAGGAATTCTGATTCTGATAGTCTACATGCAGAATGTATTTATTTAAGGACGTTTTTAAATTCTAAAACTATATCAGGGGTGCTTTACAAAACACTTTTGTTTTTCTATAGCTGTAAATGCACCATTGAGTCAGAAAATACAGCCATGTCAAATGTATCTCTGTAACTACCAATAACTGTAAAGCAGGAGCATGTGAAGAAAGAGCCTTTGGCCTGTATATGCTGATTTGTGGCCGCAGAGGAATTCAATAAACCAGTAAAATAATAGGATTTTTGGGAAAAGACAAAAACGAAATGGGCGCCACATGCCTGGATTGATGGCTGGTTTGTGGTTTAACATAAGCAAAACACAAACATAACAAAGGGATTCATAGGTTCCATTTGGTGTGAGAGAAGAAAGTAAAACGCTTATTAAACTAATCTGGAACACATTTGGACATCGTGACTGAATGGTTAGTTTGTCCGTTTTTAGGCACTATACTGACACATATGCTACTGTGTATGTGATCACTTATTACTAGAGCCAAGCAAGATCATGTATACATTATTTCAGGATCTACTGTTTATGTTATGAATCCCATCAGTAAAGCATTTATCTTCTAAAATACGCTTCTGTGTAGCTTCTTAAATGTTATCACGTTAATCATATTTCTGTTTTTGACTGTAGTAGCCTACTTAATACTCGTATCCCGATAAATGTGTTAGAGGAAGTTTTAAAAGTATAACACATGCGTGGCATTTGCAGCAGCCCACTTCTCTGAGTATTTCATGGTCGCATTTACTCTAGGATTACATTTCAGCAGATTACAGGGGGGCGGAGGAGACCAACGTGTGCGCTAAACTGCAGGCGCTCACAGAAATGATCCTGTCCCACTGCGCCTCAGACACAGTGGACTCATCTGAGGATCAAACTGGAGAACTACTGAAAGGGAATATTTACCATTTACTATTTCATTTGGATTGTTTGCATTATAAGTGCAGCAGCAACCTTTCAACTGCGGAAAAGGAATACCGTAAGTAAGTATTTGTTCCCCTGTATTGTCTGCTAGTAATTACAATTAGACTAGAGAGAAAATATTTCTCATCTTTGCAGGAATGCATTATGTTTGACTTGATCAACTATTACTTTGTGCCATGTGCGTATAATAATGATATATTAATATGCACATCATTTATAAAATACGAACTTTAATGATGGAGTGATGGAAATGTAGAGAAAACTAAAAAACGTTTCCCAGTTTATTTATTTGTATCTATGTGTATTTGTTATTTACATTTGGAGATACGATACAACACTGTGCATCTCTCTCCAGGTGCTGGTTTTATTAATGTTTAAGGACACAGTCTAGTCCCCTTGTCCGTGCAGCTGAAGCCTCCTCTCCGTGCACAATGCGCGTGTGTGGCTGCAGCGCTCCGAACCTGCGGAGGTTTCTGCTGAGGGCTCTGTTGTTCTTGGCTGCTGTGCTGCCGACGAGCGGTGACTGCCCCAAATCATGCGCATGCAACGTTCCCACTGAAGTGCACTGCACCTTCAGATACCTGACCGCAATACCTGACCACATCCAGCCAGCTGTGGAAAGAATTAACCTCGGGTGAGCTTTCGTTTTCTTTGCAGCTTTTAACAGATTGGAGAAATGCAGATTGCCTACTCTGGGGAAGGACTGATTTTGATGCATGTTTTTAAACTACAGACTGTGTAAGCACAAAGGAACTAGTGTTAGCTACTGCCTTTATAATTAACTTTTAACAAAAGTGTAGTCTAATGCAAATGTCACCACTACTAACAGTAACGTCAGCTTCTCATGACTATATCGTCAGCTTCTGGACATTGTTACAGCTAAATGGCCCACTTCCTGTAGCCAAGGAATAGCTAAAGTCCTGCACTGTTATGTGGCCCATTAGCAAACATTACATTACATTACATTGCATTGCATTTAGCTGACGCTTTTATCCAAAGCGACTTACAATAAGTACATTCGACCAGGAAGACACAACCTTGAAGAAAACAGAATCATATAAGTACATCAGGTTTCATAGAGCCAAACATTTCAAGTGCTACTCAACTGGCTTTAGATAAGCCAGTCCTTTATTAGTATAAAAGTGCTTCGTTAATAGTTCTATCGCTCGAAGTGGAGTCGAAAGAGATGAGTTTTCAGTTTGCGCCGGAAGATGTGCAAGCTATCTGCCGTCCTGATGTCAATGGGGAGCTCATTCCACCATCCTGGAGCCAGGATAGCAAACCCACGTGTTTTCGCCGATGGGAACTTGGGTCCCCCTCGCAGCGAGGGTGCAGCGAGTCGTTTGGCTGATGCAGAGCGTAGTGCACGCGCTGGGGTGTACGGTTTAACCATGTCCTGGATGTACGAAGGGCCAGATCCATTCACAGCATGGTAAGCAAGTACCAGTGTCTTGAAGTGGATTCTAGCAGTTACCGGAAGCCAGTGAAGCGAGCGGAGGAGCGGAGTGGTGTGGGAAAATGTAGGAAGATTGAAGACCAGACGAGCCGCTGCATTCTGGATGAGCTGCAGAGGTCGGATGGCACATGCAGGTAGACCAGCCAGGAGGGAGTTGCAGTAGTCTAGGCGTGAGATGACGAGAGCCTGGACCAGAAACTGAGTCGCTTTCTGTGTCAGCTGGGGACGTATCTTCCTGATGTTGTAAAGCGTGTATCTGCAGCAACGGGTTGTAGCAGCGATGTTTGCAGTGAAGGACAGGTTGTTATCTAGGGTCACACCCAGATTCCTTGCAGTCTGAGTCGGGGAGACAACTGAGGTGCCGATGTTGATTGTTAGGTCAAGAGTGGGACAATCTTTTCCCGGAAGGAAGAGCAGCTCAGTCTTGTCAAGGTTGAGCTTGAGGTGATGAGCAGACATCCACTGAGAGATGTCAGCTAGACAAGCAGAGATGTGTGCGACGACCTGGGTCTCTGAGCGGGGAAAGGACAGAATTAATTGGGTGTCGTCAGCGTAGCAGTGGTAAGAAAAACCATGCGGGCTAATGACTGATCCGAGCGAGTTTGTGTACAGGGAGAAGAGGAGGGGACCAAGAACAGAGCCCTGAGGGACCCCTGTAGTTAATTGACAAGGGTCGGACTCAGACCCTCTCCAAGTCACCCTGTAGGTACGGTCTTTCAGGTATGAGGTGAGGAGGGAAAGTGCAGAGCCTGAAACTCCAAGTTTTTGGAGAGTGCGAAGGAGGATCTGATGATTCACCGTGTCGAATGCAGCAGACAGGTCCAACAGGATGATGACAGAGGAGAGGGATGCAGCTTTGGCAGTGTGCAGTTCCTCAGTGACAGCAATGAGAGCAGTTTCTGTGGAGTAACCTGCCTTGAAACCAGACTGGTGCGGATCCAGAAGGTTGTTCTGATTGAGATAACAGGAGAGTTGTTTAAAGACAGCGCGTTCAAGTGATTTAGACATGAACGGGAGGAGAGAGACAGGCCTGTAGTTTATAACATCAGACGGGTTGAGAGTGGGTTTCTTTAGGAGAGGGTTTACTCTTGCCTCCTTGAGACTGTTTGGAAAGTGACCAGAAGTTAGAGAAGTGTTGATGAAATGGGTGAGAAACGGTAGAATATCAGGAGCGATAGTCTGAAGGAGGTTTGAAGGGATAGGGTCCAGAGGACAGGTGGTAGGGCGGGCAGAGGTAATGAGCGTAAGAACCTCACTTGGAGAGAGAGGGGAAAAGGAGGTTAGTGTGTGGGTGGAAGGAGGGTCTGGTGACCCAGCGGTGAGTAAAGGTGAGTCAGAAAAAGAAGAGCGAATATCATCAACCTTTTTTTCAAAGTGGGTAACAAAGTCGCTTCTATTAGCTGGCCTGCCAACAAAATGTTTACCCCGGTTGTCTTACAGATACAAAAATATATTTTAAATGGCCTTACCTGCAAGTTTGTGCTTTATTCCTTTCTCTTTTCACCTGTCAGGGAGGAAAACACTTGCAACATTTTAATTTGCACATCACCTGTAGTGACCTTTCATAATTGTAATACAAATCAATAGCTTGCACACTGCAGGGCTCCATTGTTCACTCCAATGTTTATTTCAAGGTGATGTTCCTAACGTTAAACTTAAGGAAAGGTTCAATCAGCCATTTCAACTAAACACCTGTGAAAGTGCAGGACCTGTAACTAAAGTATATCCATGCTTTGGTTAAAGGTCTTCTTGGAAAATATATGTTTAAAAGTACATATCAATTATTTTCCTGCAGAATATATTTGAACTATTACCAGTACCTAACTATTGGATGATAGTTAGAATAAAAAACAATAATTCAAGTTAATATAAAACAGGGAGTGATAACAGAACTATTTTTAATTGATAATATTACAAACTGGAATCAGTAAAAATTAGTATAAAGCCCATCACTGATTACCAATATGTCAATGGTAAAAGTAATAAATAAACCCACAGTTATTTCTCTGATTATCCCTTAATGACTGTATGTGCATCTGGTTTGATTGACATATCCCATACTTTGTTTATCTTTTAGAGCAGCACAGCTTAAACTCAGAAAGGTTTCTTGTCAAAACATGCATTATGGTGACATAATCAGTAATGTACAAGCATAGCTCTCTCATCTTTAACACTTAAAGTAAATAGTATGTGGTTCATTTGAGGTGATACATTGAAGTCTGTCTTTGATTTTCTGTTTTTAGGTACAACAGTATAACTGTCTTAAGGGAAAATGATCTTTCAGGACTTGGAAACTTAGAATTGTTGATGCTGCATAGCAACACTATCCACAGTATTGATGACAGAGCCTTCCAAGACCTCAAGTCTTTACAGGTAAACTCATGTGGTTTTCAGTCCTTTGAGCACACATAATCCTGTCTTGTAATATTGAATTACAAGTTTTCTGTACCATCAAATAAGTGTTGTCTGAAGCCACAAAACATATTTGATAACACAGCTTATAACATTTCATGTAGTGTTATTATTTATGTACAAAAACTAGTTTGTTGCATGTTGCATTTATGAATGACAATAAAGAAAACTGTATAATAGTCAACACTCTTTTTCAATTATGGGTCCACAGGTCCTGAAGGTGTCCTTTAATAAAGTAAAGGAGATCAGGAAAGAGACGTTCAAAGGTCTAGACAGTTTGCTGAGACTCCACATTGACCACAACAACATTGAATTCATCAGCCCAGAAGCCTTCTACGGCCTAACCAGACTACAGTTGGTCCATCTGGAGGGTAACCACCTCCAGCAGCTCCACCCAGACACATTCATCACACTGAGACACAGCCAGGTGTTCAAGATATCCTCCATGAGAAACATCCACCTGTCAGATAACCTCCTCACAACTCTGCCTGAGGGTATCTTCTCAGGCTGCAGCCAGTTAGAGAACCTCTTCCTTCATGGCAACCCATGGACATGTGATTGCCGTATGAAGTGGTTCTCAGTCTGGGTACAAAGGAACACAGGTGAGGAATAAGTGTTTGCTTTATAAAGCAGAGATGTACGAGCACCCCCTCTTTCTTAGTAAACCATTTTCCCATTCATACATGCAAAATAAAACTTAATCTAAACCTTTTTGAAGCTACATTTTCTAGCAGCTTTGATAAGACCCATCTGGTAACAAGTTGCACTTTAATGTTATTCTACTGAGACAAAAATGTGTATATTTTTCTCTTACTATAAATGGTAATAGTGTATGGTATTGTATCCAAAGCACGAAAGGCATTTCTAAGAAAATGAAACGCTTAAATCTTATATCTAAAATAATAATTGTCTTATTCGGGTTCACAAGTTTTCGTTTTGGTTTAGTTGGCCCATAATTTGGAAAATGGTAAATGTTATTTTCTTACATGCCAGGAACTAAACACTACAACTCGAATTAAATGTTTCCAGGTGTGCTGAAATGCAAGCGAGACAGGAGATATCCCAGAGGCCAGCTGTGTCCTGTTTGTGAAAGTCCTGCCCCTTACCACAACAGGCCTCTATCTCTTCTCCCTGGTGATGCCTTCACTTGTACCAAACCATGGATCCAACCCCATCTAAAGAAGAAAAACATCAGCTTGGATGAAGGAGACTATACTCCAGTTTCCCCCAAGGATTTCATTGCCCCATTAGGCTCCATACAACTGAAGCTGACTGACCAGTTACACAGTGATGCCAGTTTGTCCTGCACTGTCCAGAGGCCCTCTGCTTTGGAGAACCTGACACAAACCTTAGAGGAGGGGGAGGGGAACAATGCCACCATGCTTACTGCGAGCATAAGTACATATTTGGTGTGTAACATTGACCATGAACACATACAGCAGCTGTGGCAGATGCTGGCCACCTACAGTGACTCTGCCCTAAGACTGGAGAGAGGCTTAATGCTGACGAGAAGCCCAGAAATGGTGTACAGGTATAGTCAGATGAAGAAAACAAATGAGGGAGAGGAAGGAATTTATACAAACATTGAGGCTGAGATTAAAGCCTCACCTGCATGGTTGATGCAGGGAGAGGTGAGCTTCCAGCTGGACCGCACTACTACCACCTTCTCTACTCTGCACATTAAGTACGAGTCTGTGGTCAACCTACGTGTGGAAAACACATCACCTAAGAAGGACCGATATTCCTGGACCATGATCAAGCGAGACAATAAAACACAGACTGAATACACTGTACTTACAGGTAAGAATTTCATGCTAAATAAATGAGCTTTTGTTGATAGGACCTTCAATTGATTCTATAATGAAACTGTTACTGATGCATACCAATCTACTGAGCATTTCAAACGGTAAAAAATAGCTCCAAAAAGAAAATGTGTTATAGTTGTCCTTTTAAAACATTTATTTGATTTTGATTTAGGTGGTGTGGTGCAATTGAGCTGTCAAATCCAGGGTGAGCCAAAGCCTTTGTTGGAGTGGATTTTACCAGATAGAAGTAAGGTCAGAGCTCCTTTCTCCAGTGATGACAGGAGGATCATAATCACTGCTGAGGGGAAGCTCACTCTACGGGGTGCAGATGCTTCAGACACTGGCCTCTACCGGTGCATCACCACAAACTACCTGGATGCAGATGTCCTTGTTTTTCGAGTGGCAGTTCTGTCCCCCGATGTGGAAGAATCTGATGTTAACGGTGTCCAACTCTCACAGCCACTTGGTGAAAATCTGTTTTTTGACTGTAGCTCCTCAGGAAGTCCTGAGGCGTCGGTCCAATGGATACTCCCTGACCACTCAGTAGTGGGCAGTTCTCATGGGAACAGAAAAGTGTATGATAATGGAACCTTGCTAGTTAATGGTCTCACAGCAAGGGACAGTGGATTTTACAGATGTTTAGTTTCGAATCACCTCGGATTTGATCTGCTCGTGTCTCAGGTGACAGTGACTGGAGAAACATCTGAAAGGGTGACAGTTTTGGACAGTGAAGGATCCGGGCTGGAAATGGAGGACAAGGTGTACCTTAGCCTAACTGAAAACACAGACACTCTCAATGAGATCCCCTCCTCCCGTCCCTCGGACGGAACAAGTCAGGAATCCAGGACCATTACCTCAGATCGGCCTTACCCCAGACTCAGGTCACAGGTTAGGGTAGGTGCTGGAGGTAGACTCGGAAAGAAAAGGAAGGGCCCAGTCAGCAACAGACGCATCTGGAGTAATAGGGTGTTTGATAAATCTTCCAGGAAAGTGGATCCGCAGAAATTTGCTGAATTTATGAAAAAGGCTCAAGATGGTTTGCGAATAAAGGCTGGCGCAGAGGAAGAGGGGATTCAATATGATCACTTGAATACCATCCTATCTGGTGATGGTGAAATTGGCTCTGGTGAGGGTCATAGTGAAAATCATCTGCCAAGAATAGTCAAAGCAGCCACAGAAAATCCACAAAAGGGTATGATGATTGGACAAGAGAACAGGCTTCCTGAAACTATAACAACTACTCATGCAGGTCAGGATAGTAATGAAGCAACAATGGAGGCACATCAAACATTTGGCACGGAAACCACAGTCAACAATCCTATCGATTCAAGTCACGTGACAGAAAACACAAACACACTTACAACAGAGTCCTATATGCAGTCAGATTCGACACCAATCAAGTCTACATTTACACACAATCCATCAGAAAAGAGGGACACACAGAGTGACGCAGCAACACCACATAGCACAATTTTACTCAACACAGGGCTTTCAAGTGTTGATGACACCACAGATTTGTATGCTAAGGAAAGTACTTCAAAGCCAGGCTCAAACAGGCACCCTGTCACACTCCAACTTACTGTGACTGACACGTCACAAGAAACACAGCTCCAGTTCTCAGGAGGACAACCTGCAGAGTCAGAGACGTCAACTGGGACGTCCCTTTCATTTACCACGGACCCTCATGTTACTCCCATGATGGATGGTCCAGGACCATTGGAGCTCATTGTTCACACATCTACAGACCCAGAAAGCCAGACAACATTCACAGCTGTCAGCACCACAGAGAGACATCAAGATGAGATAACCTTCCACACTACCCAAACCATCAAATCCCCCAACCTACCGCCCGGATCAACCATCATCTCCCGTCAGCAAATTCAAATCATCCCAAACAAGAACAGCAGAGGTGGGGGGCGCAGGAGAATCTTTAATGGCCGCCGGAGGGTCATTAAACCCAATAGGATCACTGACATACAGTCCTTCATCAATAAAGTGAAACAACCCTCAGTAAAGAAGGAAGGGAATTCCACAGTGCCATATAGAATTGAACTGACCGCAGGTGAGGAACCTTGTTTTGTGAATTGTCATCATTCACTTTATGCTTTTTTCTTTAGTGTATACTTCTTGAGCTAATCTTTTGTATATATTTCTTGTCTTTTCATGTTTTCTTCATTTTGCCCTCAGCGTGTGACTGGGATGAAGACAAAAAGAAGACCGAAACCACTGATTTGCAGATGGTTACACCAAAAGCTCCATCTGATTCATCTTTACACATGACAGAGAGACCTTCCTCTGCAGCTTCTACCACAAACTATTACATTACTTCAAATTCTCCATTCACCCACACTGAGTCTAAGTCAGAAGTTTCTAGTGGTTACATAACCTCTGCTGATGAAGAGTCAATCTCCAGCACAACCACTACTACAATCGCCTCAAATGTTATCCGTGGAAGAATTCCATGGAACAGGCTGTTTGGAGGCAGAGAGAGGGAAAATATACATAGCAGGCTTAAGAAGCCACTTAACACCAAAAAAAACATAACTACAGTTGACACTACAACAGTGACGCCAACCACGACCCCTGCTGCTCTGCCGACCACTACTGCAAACTTCCTATCAGACCCTGAGACTGAGTCCCCATCCAGACACACAGAAGGCAAAAAGGGCTCATTAGATGATGACTATGGAGATGTAACCTCTGCAGTCTTTGAATTAACAACACTGCAACCTAGCTTTCACCATCTAACCACTCCCAGCACACACTATACCTCCAAGTCTGTCACCACTGCTGAAACACCACCTAAATCACAGACTCTACCTTCCCCACCTCCTGTCAAACTACCTTTAATTGAAAATACTGATGAAGACTTATCATCTGGGTCTGGGGGACTTCCTGATAATTTGGTTGTATTCAGACAGACGCCTGGTGGGACAAGAAGACAAAAAGGTCGTAGAAGGAGGCCCTTCAGGGGCAGGAGGCCCTTCAAGAAACCTGCAATCACTACATTAAACCCTACTAGCACAACTACAATGGAGACAACCACACTGCCACAACATACTTTTTCACCTTACAACCCCCTTTATACACCATCTAGGAAAGAGGACAGAACTCCAGTAGTTATTTCTGCTTACCAAACATCAAAGGAGGAGACTGACTTATATGAGGAATTTGATTGGAGCACATCTAGCAGTTTACCTGCCTTTACTACAACCAAGACACCCTTGATCCTTTCAACTGCATTAACCCCTACCACCTCATTCATGCCAATTACCACAAAAAAATGGCCCTACACAACCGCTCGGACTGAAGTGCAGAAAACACCAATACAGAGTAACACTGGTCACGCCACTCTTAGACCACCAGTGAGGAAAATAAGACCAACTGTGCTGAGTAGTGGTGCCAGTGACATTGCCGATAAAGAACTTGACGCAATGACAGATGAACAGGGACCATACAACAACAAAGGCCCACACTATGACAATCTCGATCGTGCCACTGGCAATGAAGCTACACGTGCCAATACTGCTGGCTTTGAACCCACTACAAATATTATGACCAACAAACCTAAGATAGTTGGGGGCAATGCAGCTAGCTTCACCGTGTTATCCAACTCTGATGCTTTCCTGCCATGTGAGGCGGTTGGAAATCCTGAGCCAGCTATAACTTGGAAACGCTTCTCCTCAACCACAGGTACATATGCAATTGAATTAATGGAAGGTGAAAACGTCATTTAAATCTATGTGAAAACAACAAAAAAAGCTAAATGAACAAAAAAACATACTGAAGTAAAAACAAGTCATAAAAGGGAAGGTAGTTTGAAGATGTTCCCCTAAAGAGGTTCTATAGGTTCATGTGTGTTTTGAATTTGTTTCATTAATGGTGCAACAATTTAAATTACATTTGTTTATTAAATGGTATGTTTTCATGTTGCTTAGAATAACATATTGTTCTCTCTCCTTCAGGAAACATCGTTACTGTTAAGGGGAAGATGGGCAAGTTTGAGGTATTGAGCAATGGTACGCTGTTTATCCAGAATGCCAACATTAAGGATCGTGGCCAGTACATCTGTTTAGCAGAGAATGATTATGGATCAGATAAACTGTTTGTTACCCTGTCTGTGGTGGCCTACCCCTCACGCATCCTGGAGCCAAAAATACGTGAGATAAAGTCTCATGCAGGAAACACTGTTGAAATGAAATGTAGAGCAGAGGGTCGCCCCCTACCCATGTTGTCCTGGATCTTGGCCAACCGAACCCAGGTCAAAGGTCAAAACACAGAGAAGGGAAGGGTATCAGTGTCTGCTGACGGGACTCTGGTCATTGAGGAGGTGTCTGTTTATGACAGAGGTAATTATAAATGTATTGCCAGTAACCCAGCTGGGGCTGATACTGCTACAGTCCGTCTGCAGGTGGTGGCATCACCCCCAGGTATTGTGGAGGAGAAACGGCAGCAGGTAAAAGTAGGTGTAAACCAACATTTGTGGCTACCATGTACTGGTCAAGGCAGCCCTCAACCTGCTATCCACTGGGTCCTCAATGATGGCTCCATGGTACAATCTAACAGACCTGCCTCAAGGATATCAGTGTATGGAAATGGAACCCTACACATCAAGGATGTGACTCCAAAAGACAGTGGCAAGTTTGAATGTATTGCTACCAGCTCTACTGGCTCAGAGAGGAGGGTTGTGACCCTGACAGTAGAGAGGCAAGAGTCTGCACCTCAAATAGTGGAGACATCCCAGCGTGTGACAGTGTTGTTCTTTGAGGACCAGCTGAGACTGAACTGTTCAGCTACAGGAGACCCCAAACCCCAAATCCTATGGAGACTGCCTTCTAAAGCTATAGTGGACCAGGAGCACAGGTAAAAGAAAAATCCTCGATCAGTGGCAGTAAAGCACAGAAGAATAGCATTTTCAGCAAACTTATAACTAAAAGCTAAAAGAGACATAACTAACATTTTGGATCCCTCATTTAAAAACAGGCTTATTGTTTTTGGATAATACTTCTGTGCTACAGGATTAAGTCATTATTCCACTTTGGTATTGACTCTTGGTTTATCCCCCCAATATAGAGAACAGATTTTATTTTGTTCTCATGGCTTTGTTAATTATTTTTAGGTGGTAACAACAAACAGAGACATATTAAATCTTTGCAAGCATAATTCATTTAAGTATAGCCAGGAATGAAAGTTTACTGATACTGTTCTGTAATAAAAATGCCTCTTTTATTGCAGAAAAGATACCCACACTGTGACAAAAGTATGTGTAATTTGTGCTTGCCATGCACTGTGGTGAATGGTGCTTGCTTGTATTAAATTAGGTGTTATTCTTTCCTCCCCTCGTACTAAGTCTGTCTATTTTATGTCATTTGTTTTTTCAGGATGGGCAGTAGAATTCAGGTCCTGGATAATGGTACTCTTATTGTGACCGCTATGAGTGATAAAGATGCTGGAGACTATCTCTGTGTGGCGCGAAACAAGATTGGTGATGATCTCCATCTTATGAAGGTCAGTGTGTCAATGAAGGCAGCCAAGATAGAGCCGAAGCACTATGGAAAGAAGAAGGTACCCTTCGGTAACGACTTTAAGGTCGACTGTAAAGCATCAGGAGCACCAAAGCCAGAGATCTCCTGGGGTCTACCAGACGGTACAGTGGTCAGCAGCGCTCTTCAATCCGATGCTAGCAGTGGACAAGGACGAGCACGGCGCTATACACTTTTTGACAATGGCACTCTCTACCTAAACCAGGTATGCAATAACATGTGATGTTACATCTTGATTAAAACAAATATCCAAAAGATTGACATCGCTTTGTTATGCTATTCCAGGTCAGTATGTCAGAAGAAGGGGACTACACATGCTATGCTGAGAACCAGGTGGGTAAGGATGAGATGCATTTACATATAACCGTAGTGACTGCTGCCCCAAGGATACGTTCAACTGGCCAGACATATGCAAGAGTGAAGCCTGGAGGGAACATCCGCTTTGACTGTGAAGCACTTGGGGAGCCCAAACCCAAAATCCTGTGGATGTTGCCCACCAACGATGTCATTGCAGCATCTAATGAACGCTACCTCATGCATGTCAATGGCTCGCTGGATATTAGGGATGTGAAGCTTATTGATGTTGGAGAGTATATCTGTATGGCTCGAAATCCTGCTGGAGAAAATAGAAAAGTCTACAAGCTTGATATGGAAGGAAATCCACCAGTCATTAATGGCTACCGGCAGAACAGAACAGTAATCAAAGATGTCGCTGCCAAATACTCCAGGAAATTAATAGACTGTAACGCTGATGGGGATCCTATGCCTAGTATCACTTGGATTATGCCTGATAACATCTTTATAAAAGCACCATACTTTGGCAGCAGGATTAATGTCCACCATAATGGGACATTAGAGATTCGTAATGTGCGGCCAACTGATACAGCTGAGTTCATCTGCATGGCCAGGAATGATGGAGGAGAGGCAGTAATGGTGGTGCAGCTCGAGGTGAGCAGTATTCTCAGGAGGCCAATCTTCAAAAACCCTTTTAACGAACGTGTTGTGTCTCGCATTGGGAAAACCACAGTACTAAACTGTTCTGCTGGTGGGTACCCAATGCCAGAGATCAGTTGGACTTTGCCAAATGGAACGCGGTTGACTAGTGGCCATCCCCTAGTTAAAAATGGGACTTTAGTCATCTACAACCCTAGCAAAGAGAATGCGGGGAAGTACCGCTGTGGTGCAAAGAATTTCATGGGCTACATAGAGAAACTAATTATTTTGGATGTCGGGCAGCCTTACATCCTTACAAGACCTAGAGGCGTAATACGCAGTGCTGCTGGAGAACCTCTTTTCATTCATTGTCTTTCTGATGGGAGTCCAAGACCCCACATTTACTGGACCATTCCTGGTGGCCACATTCTTACTCAGCCTCAAGTCTCTGGGCGCTTCCAGGTACTACAGAATGGTACTTTGATTGTTCAGGATACAACTATCCACGACCAAGGGAACTACATCTGCAGGGCTCGGAGCAGTGCTGGGGAGGCTGTGCTCACTGTTCCTGTTATCATCATCGCCTACCCTCCGCGGATCACAACAGGTCCACCGTCCAGTGTGAGGGGAGTGACCGGGACACCTATTCAGCTCAACTGTGCCGCCATTGGGATCCCCAAACCAGAGATAATGTGGGAGTTACCCGATCATTCAGTTCTGTCAGCGGCAGACCAGGGTCGGCCCATGGGTAGTGAACTGCTCCACCCTCAGGGCACACTTATCATTCAGAGGCCCAAAGCCTCAGACTCTGGCACATACAAGTGCCAGGCCAAGAACCACCTGGGTACAGACTCAAAGGTCACATATGTGCGAATATTGTGAGAAAAAGACAATTCCAATGAAGGACTATGGCACGACCAAGAGTAAACATCAACAGACACTTGTCCGTGAGGAACGGTGCAACGTTTCACATGTGGATTAAAGATGATTAAGGCTTCTGGAACATTGTTTAAAAAAGTGACTAATTTGGATCAAAACAATTAACAGAACAGAAACTAAGCAGAGATTTTATAGGGAAAAAAACATGCTTTTTGTGAAAAGCCAGCCTGGGCAGGGAAGTTGTTAATTTTGGATCTGGGGATCTGGAAAACAATAGTTGGTTCTCATTTGGGGTGGTTCTCATGGGAGCAAAACAGGCAGTGAATGAGTGGAACTTAAAGTGATTTCTCTGACCAGGCATTGCTGGCTGAGCATGGGAATACTATTACAAAACATACAGAGAGGGAGAAAAAAGTGTGTAAGAAATTGATGGAAAGAAAGAATTATCCCAAGAGGCTTTTTATTCCCTTCAGATATTGGCCAGATGTGATTGTTGTCACGACACACGATTTGTTGTTTAGCATCAAATGAAAAAGACAGGCTGAGTACTGTATATGGTAAAGAATCTTTCAAGAGCTATTCATACAATTGTACAGTGGAAGAAAACAGATTTGTTGAACAGGAGGCTTGTTTTACACTGGAAACATATCTGCATGGACCTTTATAACACCTGATTTCTGTATTATACTTTTTGATGACAGGTTTAAGGCAGATTTATTATGTTTATTCACAGTGCAGTGTATTGGTCAAAAACACACTTTCCTATCAATGTATTGTGTTGTACACAAGAATATACAGTAATGTTATACATTATGCTCATTTGTAATAATACAGTATATGTACCTATTTGTAGTATCTACTTTAACAGTATGAGAGACAAAATAAAATTCTAAAGAAAACATGGTTCATGTCTTTTTTATGTTTTATTTAATTATTTGATAAACCAACATCCTTTTCAATAAAGCATGCATCATATGAAACATCACTGTTAAAGGTGCACAGAACTGGCTGTTAGTGCTTGTATGCTATTAACATTGCAGTTGTAATGAAGGTCATTTGGATAATCCAGTTGTACTTCACCGTACAAGAAGAAGGTCATGGCTCTGGTAGCAGTAGAAACCTTCCATACACAAACACTTTTAACTCCCCAGCTGTTAAAATAGTATTTTACCCAGCTCTTCAATCTGCAAGACCCACAGGGGAGTCTTTTAATTTTTATGACTAAGTGTTGATTTTACTACCCTCCTACAAATTAAAAAGAGAGATAATGGAAATGTTTGAGACAGAAAGGGGGAACAGGGATGTACTCCTTTTTTTAAACTTATATTTTGAGAAAAGACAGAAATACATTACATGCAGCACAACAACTAAAACAATGACATTTGGTGAGAGTGAGATGCTTTACTATACAGCAATGATCTAACAACTAAAGTCCTTTTTAAAGGCATTACATGAGACAAATGCACTCCTATGCCTTAAAGGAAACAACTAGAACCCATTTCTCAGTAAATTGCCCCAATTGGTAATCTCCTGTAATGATGCTCATTTAAATGACGCAATAACTTCATTTTTGCAAAGCCTCATAAATCAAGAAACAAGAGAGAAAACAAAACAAACAAACAAGATCATTAATCAATTCTGTGTCCCATAAAAAATCATCGGTTCAAATATAATTTGGGTTTAAATCTATTAATTGTATCTGAATGTTGTCGAGATTTATATAAATATTAAATTAAATTCTATAAATAATTTTTTTATATTTGGTTGCACATGTTTCTGATGAAGGTTTGTTACAGTCTTTTTACGATGCTGGAGTATAAAGCACAGTTTTAATCATTAAACAGGAAGTAATTCATTCAAAGTGGCTCCATATACCTAACAGCTACATTGTCATTAAAAGGTGAAGGGCAGTCGTCAGTCCTAAGGTGTATATTTTCCAATAAATCCATTTTTGAGATTTTCTCCAAAGTTTCGAGCCAGTCTACAGTAGTGTGATATGGCCGAGACAGACATGGGGAGACAATTAATTTTCTTCCATAAACTTAGGAATGTAGACTTACTTGATCCATGATTTAAGAGAACACTGCTTTTATACAGTAAGGGAGATGTGTGACAACCACACACAAATAACACTAATGTTTAATTACCACTATATTCTTTATGGCTCTTCAATCTGAAAGACAGTTCATTCTTCACACCATTCATCCTTTGTGGATGGTGAGTTTATTTGTTCAGTTCTGGTTTTGCAGTTCATGTTTGGATATGTCCACTAACTTGGATATTTATGAGGATTTGTACGTTTTCCCCATTTGCTCCTGTCCCCTTGGGTCTTTAAAGTAAAAGAGTTACAGTTCAACACATATTATTTAAAATATGGTTTTATAAGAGGCTGCTGAAAGGAATGGTGTTTTTTTTGTATGAAGGTCCCCTTTACCAGGTCAAATCAACTCATTTCTGGTCTGGTCGCAGCTGCTAAAGTGAGACATGGTAATATTAAGAGCTGTACTACCACGGCCCTTTCACAAGATGAATAAACAAAACCTGTTTTGACACCAGATGAGGTAGGTAAAACTGTGGCCACTCCTTGGCCACCTCGAAGATTGTGGAAAAACAGACGAAATCTGCACATGATCAAATGCCTTCTTGCTGCGAAGATTGTCCTCATTACCTCACAGTTCACTCTCCAAGGGACAGAGATCAAATTGAGCAATATTTCCTGGAGGCAGCTTGTTGATTTTCACATGTAATTACCTATATTTTGCCAACTTAACTTTAGACCACCTTTACTTTTACCTCCAAAACGTTTCTACTATTTGTCAAACTGCAGGGAAAATGTAACAATAGATGCTTTGTTCAACCAGCAATTCCTGCCTGAGTACTCTCCATGTTTCCATACAACAGCAAAGCTGTCCATCTCCACTCCAGGAACCAATGTGAGGCCACATCTGGATAGTCACTCAAGTCAGTGATTCTAGTCAAATATCTTCTCAATTTCTTTTGTGATTTTTATGTTTATTTATTTATATTTATTTTTATCTTATACATGTTATTCATTCAAGGCCCCTATTTCTCAGTTGGAATTGAATTAGTTCTCTATAGGATACTTAACCGTCAAGATTGATAGTGATATTGAAATGTAGGAATTCTACTTAAATTGAATGTGCGATGTATGTTTTCATATATCTGGTTTAGAGTAATGCCTGAATTAATTATGACAAACTGAGGAAGATTTAGAGTTATGTGAGAAAAGTTAAAAGTAACGATAAAGTCGGTAGACGAGAAAAACAAGAGAAGAGTGAGATGTATTTCTCTCTGTGGTAGGAATTCCATACTTAAAGTTGAACGCGAGCAGTCTGAACATGGAAACTGAGATCTCAAGGGAGGATGCCTGGGAGCTCAGCAGCCTTAAGCCTAACAGTACCTCTCTGTAAGCTCAGAGAGTCTGTCTTATTGTTTTTGATGCTGCAAACTTGGCAACTAGTAAAATCCTCCAGAAAATGAAGTGAAGCACTTACTTCATTTTTGCTGCAATCCAAGCCTATGTCTGGGAAACTATTTTCAAATAACCTAAGTGGGTTTTCCGTTACACCCCGGGTCTTGCTGGTGCACACACACATTTGCTTGTACAGTATATCGGCATCTCCTTTAGTACCTCTGGTGTTGTTGGAATTTCACACCAGCTTTTCAGAATCCACACACCCACCTTCTGACCACAAGTAAGAACGATTCATCTTTGCACCTCTCTCCCAGGTAGGATGTGTCATGCTGTGATAGTGGTTCCAAGTTTCTCAAACCCTTTCTTCCCCAGAGAAGACGCTGTTTTACCGATAGCATAACACGTTGACCATAAGAAAGGTAAAGGAAAGTTTCAGGTGTAATTTGTCAACTTGAATGATAGCCCTCAAGGTTTTTGTCTTCTTCACATATTCCCTGTTGGTGTCAAAAGTGAGCCTTAAGCCAGGTAAAGGAGCCAGGTATAAGGACAAAGGTGTGATCATAAATCAAACCAATTGTAACCATAAATTGTCCAAAGCTAACAGTAAGTGGATACTGCAACCATTAAATCTAAGAAGGGCCTAATAAATAAAATAACAAGAAAGGCACACAGGTTTTGTATGTTTATCCTAAAGGATACACTTTTTAATGGGACCACATCCCTCAGTTTCTGTCCTGAGGGCAGTGGAAGTACGTCAGTGGGGGTTGTGAGAAGTGATCGGGTGCAGATGTGGTCCTTTAGACCCCAGAGAGTAACCAGGTGGACTGCTGGAGCCCACTGCTGTATACCTAACCTTCCTCACTTCAGTCACACAAACACCAAACTAAAAACATCAAAGCTCTTTTAAATGACTGAGTCTCAAAGGGGGGGAAAGCTTTTAGACAAGCCAGCTCACCCAATTAGGCTGCATCAACACTGTGGCACTGCTACTTTACAGCAGAGGCTGAAGTTTCAGTCTGACAGGTTTAGCTTTTCCACGATACAAAGTTCACTGATAAATTAGTCAAGCTAAGTGGGATGAGTTTTTTTTTTATTGAAGCTTGCACATCTTTACTGAAATGAGGGAACAATGTCGTACACTTCTCTCTTCCCCCAGCTGTGAGAATGAAGTCTTCTGTATTTCTACTGTTTGATAGTACTTTTTTGAAATGTTACCAGGACAAGAACACAAAGTTGGAGGTCTGTGGTGAAAAGAAAGTCAGGAATTTGCAAATTACATTCTTTCACTCAGACACATATGGGGTCAGCATTTCCTCTGTGCTTCTGGAAATAAAGTTTAATTTACCACTCTGCAGTAAAGTCAATGTGTAATTTAGATGCAATCTGGAGGAGCTGTAACACCACTGAGGAAACACTAAACACCTATAAATAAAACAACGAGACAGGAGCAAGAGTCTTAGACTTGGACAGCACTGTGAAAAAGCTTTCTCAGATACTCGAGGATGTGTTTCCCGTACAGACAATTTTGTAGAAATGTATTTTCCATGATTAGTATAAATGTGTTAGCTGTGATGTAATTATCTGTTAACCTTTTAAATGACAATATATTGTACCTATTGTCATGTATTCACACATTAAACATGTATAAAAAATTAAATAGAACAAAAATAAAAAAAGTCTCATATCCTGTTATCCCAATGAGAACCAAGAGATGGCATCAAAAGCTCTAATAATTAAACTGTGTTTCTAAATTATTTAGGGTTTAAATGTGAGGGTTTCAAAACATGTCCACATCAAGTGCCACAGTATCATTTAAACCTCTTGCTGTGGTTTTCCTGCTCTACATGAATGTCTTAATGGGACCCACCAACCTCAGATGATTCGATGATATAGGAAAAAAAGACCCTTATAGCTCACCGGTTGTTACTAAAGTCATGTTTGCTTCTTGAATCATAGAAGTTGCCTTAGATATTCCCTTAAGCAGTTTTATATCACCTACTTTTCTGACATATTGTTTTAATATTTAGTTTCAAGAAAACAATTGGAATGTCTTAGTTTCACAAACAAATACTTCGGTTCCGGCAAAATACCTTACAAGGTTTTTGTTATGGCTCTTCAGAATTAAGGCAGGGTATAGACACACATTAGCTCATAAAGAAAGTCAGTTTTTTCATCAAGTCCATTTTATCTACATATCCCTTGAACCCCCCCCAAATCAAGCCCCTCTTCCCCAGAGGCTTATTTTTCCTCAGATTAATTGCTGATGGGCTCAGAAATTGCATTCACAGTATTTTCCTCTCTTCTAGTTGTTCATGACATTGAACTTTCACACATGTATTAACAGCTGAAGCTGACACATTTGCCCTTGTCCTATCTGCTTCCCCTCTGTGTGCACACAGGTATCTG